ACCACGCCTGGCCCTCTTACCTAATGCTTGGGGATGATAAATTAGCAACAGACACTTCATAAGTACCCACGTTAAGACTTGAAAAGCTTCATTTTTATAATGTATGTGAATGTGGTGCTTTCTCTCTTTTCCAGAATACTTTCACAGCAGTGATATCATTTAATCTCACGCCACCCCTGTGAGATGTCATAGGCATTCACTGAGCAAAGCCTGAGTTCAAAATGAGGATTTCTTTTGGGGAGCTAGATAATATTTTTAAAAGTATTTTGAAAGATTCTCTGTTGTTTGGTTAGCATCTCTATTCAGTGGCAATTTAATGCTAACTTTAATATTTATGTGTTAAGTAATGAAGTTGAAAACCTGGCCTTTGGAGTAATTTGCTGTTATTTGTCGTATACAGCAATTTTAAAATTTGTCTTCGTATTTTGTTACATTGAAGTGAGTAAACTAGATTTTGGAATCATCTGGCTCACCACGACAAGCCCTGTTTTCAGTCACAGTGTGAATGACCCCGTTTTAGGATTTTAGAGTTAACCTCACTAAGTGCAGAAACTGTAAGACAGGGCCGGGCACAGTGGCTCACGCCTGTAATCCTAGCACTTTGGGAGGCCAAGGCGGGTGGATCACCTGAGGTCAGGAGTTCAAGACCAGCCTGGTCAACCTGGTGAAACCCTGTCTCTACTAAAAAATCAAAAGTTAGCCAGGTGTGGTAGTGCATGCCTGTAGTCCCAACTACTTGGTAGGCTAAGGCAGGAGAATTGCTTGAACCCAGGAGGCAGAGGTTACAGTGAGCCAAGATCATGCCATTGCACTCCAGCCTGGGTAACAGGGCAAGACTCCATCTCAAAAAAAAAAAAAAAGAGGCCGGGCGCGGTGGCTCAAGCCTGTAATCCCAGCACTTTGGGAGGCCGAGACGGGCGGATCACGAGGTCAGGAGATCGAGACCATCCTGGCTAACAAGGTGAAACCCAGTCTCTACTAAAAAATACAAAAAAAAACTAGCCGGGCGTGGTGGCGGCGCCTGTAGTCCCAGCTACTCGGGAGGCTGAGGCAGGAGAATGGCGTAAACCCGGGAGGCGGAGCTTGCAGTGAGCTGAGATCCGGCAACTGCACTCCAGCCTGGGTGACAGAGCCAGACTCCGTCTCAAAAAAAAAAAAGAAAAAAGCCAACAGTGAGATAGCTCCTGAATGGGGAGATCGGGTTTAAAACTAAAAGGCCCTGTGGCCAGGAGCTGGACGTTGGTGTTTGTTTTCCTTATAACCACTCTCTGGTCCTTGATCTCTCCTTACCTCGACCCTTACATCTCAGACCAATCCACGGTTACCTTTGTTCCCTCTTGCTCCCCAGTGGGACCCACACGTGGGCTGTCCTTCGTGCATACCCTGTCAGCCTGTGGCATTGACAGGCAGAAACTGAACCAAGCATGTGGGTAGAAAGGCTCCAGTTAGGAGCAGAGGACAAGAGGGAACCAGAGTCACCCCCTCATGTACTGATCTCGAGGGTCTGGTCCTGTACAGGGTTGAAAGATTTGAGACTCTTTTCTTGTGGTCCTAAGTTAGCTGAAGGAAGCGTGTGAGGACAGCAGAGGTCTGTGAAGGGGCATCTCGCTGTGTGCAGAGACAGAGGTGACAGGCGAGGCTGCTGTAGGACCTGCGCTGACAGAGCTCTGAGCGGCAGCGAACCCAGCGTGTGTCGTTCTCCTGCCGGAGGTGTGGGTGACAGGTGCTTCCAGAAACGGCTGAAGGCTGCAGGGCTCTACAGAAAGGTGGTCCCCTCACAGGCGTGTGTTGGCCTAGGTCCTGCCCAGCGTCGCGATATCATATCTGCCTGACTGTGCCCAGCACAGGTGCACAGGCCCCAAATCAACCTGCTGCTGCTGCTTGAAACAGACAACCCCTCTCTCACTGCCCACCAGCCGCTGCTCAGGTTCATCCCTCTGCTCATGAGAGGACAGGCACATTCCTGGGACAGTTGAGGCAGGGGACAGGCCCCGTCAGGTGTGTGCTGTGGCCTCTGGGCCTGTGAGAGGACAGGCACATTCCTGGGACAGTTGAGGCAGGGGACAGGCCCCGTCAGGTGTGTGCTCAGTGGCCTCTGGCCCCAGCCTAATGAAATTCATTTTGTTTAATCCGCAAGTTCAAGTGTGCGTGAATCTTGAGCAATGCAGGTTTTTCACACCAAGGAGAGTCCTGAAAGCCCACTTTGGATCCACTCGTGTTTCTAGATCTCGTGACTGCAGCAGCCGTCGAGAGGACTCTGGGCTCACCTTGGCACACACAGTGCCTCTTTATAAACCCGCCAAGCAGTTAATTTCACGTGGACCTCTCAGTTTCTGCCACACACTCTTTCTCTGAAGAAATGACTGGATTCTCCTAGTGTTGAAAGTGCATGGGATTGTCAGCCTGGCCCTTTTAATGAGCTGCTGCCGTGAGACCTGAGTCCGTCACAAACGATCGTCCCATAGGCTGCGCCCCATCAGCAGGTGCATCGTCCAGTCTCTGCTGGTGAACCGCAGTGCACCAAACCGCAGGGACAGCAAGAGCGCAGATGTGAGGGACCGCAGTCTGGATTGCACAGGGTTGCCCTGTGTCCCCGTCTTCCCTCCGGCCCCCGTTAGAGAGCTTGTGGCACAGTCCCTGGCACCTTACAGCTCAGTGGCAGCTTTCCCATGGACCCCCTGGGCTGTTTCTCGAGGTGAGGCCGCCCTGACATGAAACTAGATTTGACTCCTCCGCCAACTGTGCAAGATGACCGAGAGTCACAGATAAGTTACATCCATTCCAAGTAGTGAAACAAATGCTGTGATGAGTTAAATGGGCCATTCTCATTCAGTCATCGTAGAGAAAGCGGCAGGGAAGATGTTTGCATATGAGCATTTGCCATGTCGTAAAGTGCAGTTTGGGGACTGATTTCAGACTCGAGGAGTGTTTAGATTCACACCGAGGGAAACGTCCTTCCTGTGTCCTGCTTCCCCTCTAGCTCGTCCTGATTGTGTCCTCTGCGGCGCTTTTCCCCTTGCGTCCATACTATCTGGGTGGAACACATGGCATCCAGGGTTTTGTGTCCTGTGGTGATGAGAGCACTGCCCAGGGCATCTGTGCCACTGTGACTCCATGCCGGACCCAGCTAGAACCCTGCAGGAGGACTGTGTCTGCTTCCTTCGTGCCTGGTGCCACCACCTGCCTAAAAACAGGCAAGGGTGGCTCGGGCTGTGAGCTGCTGCCACTCCCAGCTCCCTGGGGGAGCCAGTGGCCACAGGAGAGGGAGGGACGGTATCTTGATGCTTCTTGGGCTTGCATGGCACCTTCTGAGGCCCGGGTGAGGGCGGGAGAGCAGGAGGAGGCAGGGAAGAAAGTCACTGAGGCAGGAACGTGTTGTAAATCAGGTGAGTGAGTGCGCCCAGCAGCTTCTCCCAGCTGCTTCCTGTCGGGACGAGGGAGGAGGTACGATGTGCAGCGGAGCAGGGGGACTTGGCACAGCCACAGCAAGGCAGCTGCCCCACCAGCCTCACGCTGGCTTCCCACATCGCAGGGGCTTGGTGAGGAAGGGAGAGAGCGGGCACAAGAGGTCAGTCGTGCCAGGCGCCTGAGGTGCCTTCACCCCAGCACTCTCGATGCTGTCCCTGCTGCGAGCTAGGCCTCTGCCTGCGGCTCCGGAGAGCTGTGGTCACGAGGTGCCCGTGCCCACCCCGTCCTGCCACAGAGGAGGAGGAGGTATGCTCTCTCAACACAGGCAGCGCTGGGATGGGGAGGCGTGTGTGTTTCTCTCCCCTCAAACAAAACACTCACTTTGGAAACATCCAGAGGCCTTCGTTCTAAAGTGGGAATGTGGGCTCCTCCCTGAAAGGCTTCCTGTCTGCTTTCTCCCCTCAGTCTGTCTGGGACAGAGGAGGAAGAAAGAGACTGAGCAGGTGCTGGCCACCTTTCTCCATCCCTTACAACGTCACGAGCTTCAGCACCCTCACGTAGTCCGTTCTGATGGCCTTCGCTCCTTAAAATTCTCCTGCGTCAGCTCGCCACATGCGTATGACCTTGCCCCTGTACACTTCCCTGAGACTGCAGAAAGTGACTACTCTTCCACAAGCCCTGATGTCAGGGCGGCCTGGAAGCCTAGACCCCGCCTGCTGGTGTCTGTCTGTAGAGCAGGGTTCAAAGTGGAATCTTTTAGAAAGTGGTGTAATTGGTTTTGAACATGCTACCTTTGAGGGGACTCGGTACGTGCCTGTTGTGCAGGCTGCTCTGTGGTCGGCGGTTGCGCTCTCCCGGCTCCTCCCGTGCCCGCTGTGTGCCACGCGTTTGGCGGCTCAGCGCTTCCTGATACGGGGTCCTGGGTGATTCCGCTGGGCCCTTCTTGCTATGGAACACGTCTCAGATTGTATCGATGATTGGTCCAGGCAGGAGAAGACTGGCCGTCATTCCACCACAACAATCCAAATGGAAGATTCCCCTGTGTTGGCTACTGTAAATCAGGTCATAAAAATGTGGGAAGAAATAATGGACTCTTTCTAGAAACTGGAAGATGTTTTGCCAGATGCTCCTTCTCGTCAAAATCTTCCATTTTTAAGGACAATGTCTTGGGTCCTTGGGCCATCTTCGTCAGAAGCAAGACTGTACCCAGGAGCCGAAATCTGAAATCCTGTTCTGGCCTGTCCTTTGCTGGCTGCGTGGCCAGGAGTGGGCCAGCCTTCATGTCTGGAAAGAGTGTCCCGTGTCAGAGGGGCTGGCATCCCACCACACGCCGAAACCCACCCATGGGTGGGTTTGAAAAACAGCCAGAATTTGAATCTTGGGGTTGGAGCTAAGGAACCTGCATGAAAATTTTTCTTTAATGGTAGTTTTTTTATTTTAGAAAACACACGGACACTCTTCACCTTTTTCCTTTGCTTTCCCGTTTGCACAGAGGCGAAATACCACTGCTCTTACCCTGTTCAGTTCTTGTATTTGCCACATCAGGATTCCTCGATCCATACTGAGCTGTGAATATTCTTCCTTCCTGACAGGGGGAATCAGTGAAGTACTTCCTGGACAACTTGGACCGGATCGGCCAGCTGGTGAGTAAGCACGTCTGCCCGAGGAAGCTGGACTCCGGGGTTAGAAAACACGTGTCTAGAGACCAAAGCAGTCCACGTGGTGAGGGCTTTGGCGGGACTGACAGGCCGAGCTTACTCTATCACATTACCACGAATGGTCCTGTAATGGCTCTCACTTAGATCTGGGCTCCCTCTCGGGGCAGGGGAGGAAATTGCCTTTGCCCAGATCACCATAAAGGAGATAGAGAAGTTGTTGAGTGAAAGGAGGACTTCCTTTAACTTTATCTCACGGAAAATTCAAACATATTCAAAAACAAGTAGTCTGATGGAACCCCAGGTGCGGCAGTTATCACTGATTACCAGTCTTGTTTCAGCAGCCCTCTCCCTGCCTCCAGGAGCAAATGCAAAGAATATTTTAGAGTGTACCTCAAAAAGACGAGACGAAAAATCACAACCACAGTAACTGCAATACCGTATAGCTCCTGAAAAATTAGCAGTAATTCCGTAATGTCAACCTAGTCAGTTTTGAGATTTTCCCTGTTATCTCATTAATGTTTTCATGTTGATGTTGCTTTGTTTCAGCAGATTTGAATCAACAGCCTAATAAGGTCCATACATTGCCATTGGTCAATACCACTTAAGTATTAGTCTGTATGTCTCTCCTTTTTTTCTTTCAATTTGTTTATTGGAGTAACTGGGTTATTTATCCTGTAGGGTTGTTTCTTGCCATGTGGACTTTGCTCTTCCACCCCTGCAGTGTTATTGAAGATGTTTCTCTGTCCCCTGCACACCCTGTGGGTGGTAATCAGACCTCTAGATCGAGGCTTGATCACGTCCCTGTTTGCTCCTTTGGCGAGACAGCTGCCTGCGTGGTGTGTGCACTCATCACGGGAGGTGTTTTGTTGGTGTGGGTTTTTTTGTTTTTTTGGTTTTGAGACAGGGTCTCTTTCTGTCACCCAGGCTGGAGTGCAGTGACGTGATCATAACTCATTGTAGCCTCAGCCTCCTAGGCTCAAGAGACCCTCCTGTCTCGGCCTCCCAAGTAGCTGGGACTATAGCCTGCAGCACCATGCCCAGCTAATGTTTTTCCTTCTTGTCAGTACGGGGTTCTACTGTGTTGCCCAGGCTGTTCTTGAACTCCTGGGCTCAATCTGTTCCTCCCACTTCCCAAAGCACCAGGATTACAGGTGTGAGCCGCCATGCCTGGCCTGGAGGATTATGAATAGTGCAAAGTCAAAGTGGGTGAAGAGTGTGGTTGCCTGTGTGTCGCTAAAGACTTAAAGAATTTTCTAAGAATAACATTAAATGTATTGCAGAGTGAATTTACATCCCATTACAAAACCTAAATTAATTCACAGTAAGGTTTCGGAAGCTATAAGCTCTGGGAGTTAGAAAAATAAAAAGGTATCTCTGGTATGGAAAGAAAAGAGATGGTAAATTTCCTCTGGAGAAGAAAACGGATGTGGTTTTGCCCTGGGCCTGCCCACGAGTGTTCTGAGCATTCGTCCTCAGACTGGTGAGCCTCCGTTCGTTTTGAAATGTAGTATTTGATTCTGTTTCACGGCCAGTTGATAATTTTACAAATGAAATTTGCTTTTGGTATCTGGTTCAACTTCTTGCAAAACTTGGTCTCTTTCCTTCTACCCTGTCTTTTTGCCATCTTTTTGTTTTTATTTTCTTGTGTTCTTTCTTCTTCCCCTAAATTTCTGCCTCATTCTGTGTTTTACAGAATTACTTTCCTAGTAAGCAAGACATTCTGCTGGCGAGGAAGGCCACCAAGGGAATTGTGGAGCATGACTTCGTTATTAAGAAGATCCCATTTAAGATGGTGGATGTGGGCGGCCAGCGGTCCCAGCGCCAGAAGTGGTTCCAGTGCTTCGACGGGATCACGTCCATCCTGTTCATGGTCTCCTCCAGCGAGTACGACCAGGTCCTCATGGAGGACAGGCGCACCAACCGGCTGGTGGAGTCCATGAACATCTTCGAGACCATCGTCAACAACAAGCTCTTCTTCAACGTCTCCATCATTCTCTTCCTCAACAAGATGGACCTCCTGGTGGAGAAGGTGAAGACCGTGAGCATCAAGAAGCACTTCCCGGACTTCAGGGGCGACCCGCACAGGCTAGAGGACGTCCAGCGCTACCTGGTCCAGTGCTTCGACCGGAAGAGACGGAACCGCAGCAAGCCGCTGTTCCACCACTTCACCACCGCCATCGACACCGAGAACGTCCGCTTCGTGTTCCACGCGGTGAAAGACACCATCCTGCAGGAGAACCTGAAGGACATCATGCTGCAGTGAGCAGGAAGGCCCCGGGGTTTGTCGTCTCCTGCAGGAGAACCTGAAGGACATCATGCTGCAGTGAGCAGGAAGGCCCCGGGGTTTGTCGTCTGTGACCAGCCTCCACGGCTGTGGGCCAGACTCCTGGGTGTGTGTTGTCTGTGTGGTCCTCGAGTGGGTTTCTCGGATCCGTGCCCTGGAATACCTGGCTCAGGAATGCTGTCAGACCAGCCAGCCAGTGAGCTCTGGGCAAAAGGACATGGAAACTGTTACGTTAGCTACTGAATCCTGGGGGCTAGTGAAACTACTGAAAACTCGAGTGATGATGTTGTGAAGACGGAACACCTAATCACACAGCTTGCTTTGCTTTTACAGAAACGTTCCTCTTTTTCTGACACAATTGAATTGAGGACCGTGTGTGTGTGTATGTATGTGTACACACACGCTCTGTCTTTAATGACAGAAACACAGAAACCAGCTGGCCTTGCAGACGGCTTTTCTAACTCGCAAGTCTTCTGAGACAGACTAACCTGAAAGCTTTGCCTAACGGTAGCTTGTAGAGATCCAGTGCACGCCGATGCTGCTAAACTCAGAGTGCCTGAGCCCGGCCCTGCAGCCCCAGCCGCAGTGTCTGAAGGCCACCTCCCAAAGGGAGCACGTTGCCTTTTCAAACTCCCGTGCCGATTTCCTAAGAGCCCCTAGTCCACGCCTCTCAGATGAAGCTGAGGAGCCGTGTCTAGGATCCCTTCCCAGCTCTGAGGATGGGCCGGGGAGCTCTGCAGGGGTGGATTCACCTTATGCCCCTACAGCAGGCTCAGCCTTACCCCCCCTGCCCGATGCCCAGCAGCACAACACGGACTGAGACAGGATGCCCACGGGGACTGCTGCTCTGTCCGCATACACACAGCGGTGCTCTTCTCCCCTTAGCCACCCCCATCCAACCCAACGGCAAAGACACAGAGACCAGGTCCCCTTGCAGATGGCTTTCCCATCTTCCTGCAAGTCATCTGCGCACACACAGTTGGCAGCACATAGCGTTTCCTTCTTTCAGAAACATTCTTCTTCTGGGGCTTCAGAAAGCTGGCAAGGCCACTAGCAGAGCTTTTGTTAATGCCCCAGCGGCTTGGCGAGCTCACAGCTGACCTTTCAGGAAGCCCACAGACGCTGGAGGAATCTTGAGTTTCTCCAAACTGCCGCTCCACCAGTGCCTTTGGACAGCCGTGCCTGTTTGCAGCTCTCCTGTAAGTCTGATTCTCATCGAGGCCCCTTGCTCCTATGACTGTGCTTGCAGAACAAGTAAACAGTCTCAGATGCCGCTGTCCCGGGGAGCCCGCGGAAGCCTGTGAATGTTGATACAAGCTGGCCAGTCCTGGGCCCAGTTCACTTGTCCAGCTACCTGCCAGGTGGCTTTCACTGTGTTTAAAATACATTGCATTCCAAGCTGGTCCCCTCTGTGTGTCACTCTACTGAGAAATCCTGCCTAGTGCGTTTGGGGATGTGTCCTAGCATTTAAAAAAAAAATGAAAAGCTTCCTCTTAACTGGCACCCGGACATTGCTGTGGTTCAGTTACACATCCCAGGGCCCTTGTCCCGAGGCCTCTGCAGCTCACCCTCAGCTTGTTTCCTGCAAACCTGATAAATACAAGCCCTTGGGACAGATGCAGAAGAGGGAGGGGAAAACCTGCCTCTGGGTCACCCTGTGAGCAGCGCGTTTTCATCAGGAGACAGCATGGAACTCTGTGTTGCAGTGCTCAAGGGCGTGCGTCAGAGTTTGCTGGGCTTGTGGCTCCTTTTTTGGCTGGATAAAGAAGTTGCTGTTTTTGTACTGCTTCTGTGGCTCTTCACAGACCTAAAGGATGTGACCAGAGCTGAGTGCTGATGACCAGGTTTTAAAGGAGAAAGAAACCTCTGGTGGGTCTCTCGGGATGGTCTCAGGTCACATTTTCAGTTTCCAACAGTGATGCGCAGCCCGGTCCAGAGCGTGGTGAGCTTTGTTTGCCTCCCGGGTCTGCTTTTACTGTCTCTCCTGTGTGTGTTAAAATCCAGGGCCCAGAGGAAGTGCAAGCGGGTCCTCCGCCAACTGGCGGAGCCTCTTGGTGGCGCTGTTGGCGACAGCAGCGCTGTCATTGGCGTAGCAGGGGAGTTCTTTGAAACACCTTCCTGAGTAGTCCAGACTTGTCAATGAGTGCTTTTTTTTCCTGTAAACAGTCTAACATATTTACTCGTCACTTTCAAACCGAAAGCATGAAAGGAAGGAGATGTTGTGGGGTCCGTTTAACTCGATAGAAAGCACAGTGGGATGGCCCCCGGCCTGGGCTCTTGACCCGCTCAGCACTGGCCCCACCTTCCTGGCCTAGGCACTTGGCCTTGCTGAGCTGGACTTCCTCCTCCTCCTCATGACCAGGGTAAATTAGAACGTGTTTAAAGACACCCCCTTCCAAATTCTGTAACACATTGTAATTGGAGGAGAAGGAAACTGCAAGGCTAAACTGTCATTTACAACTTTGCTACACATAGACCGTAGTCAGTTTTGTCTCCAGAACCTTAGGCTTTTGTATTTTTTAATTTTAATTTCATTGTTAATCCTTATTGTCTTTTTTTATTAAGATGTTGGAAAAGCAGGAGGTAGATTTGCCTCATCTATTATTGCAAAAATGTAACAATAAAGTTCCTCAAAATAAGGTGTGTTCCTCATAGCTAACTCTTTACATATAAGAACGCATATAGGGATTTTACTGAAATCTATTTTTAACTCTTCTGTTTGTAGAGAAATTGTTTCAAGGATTTTGAGTCGTAGGTCTAATTTATAGAGATCTCTAGAATTCGTATTGTAATTTTCCTACTTCTTTGATAAAAGAAAAATGAGTCAGATTATTTTAACTCCAAGATTAAAAAAAAAAAAAAACTTGAGAGAAGACTATTAGTTATAACTAACTTGGTGGTTCTGGGAACAGACATCTAACCTGGTATTGTAAGGTAGAGGCTCCCGTTGGGATGATAGTGGTCCGGGTCAGTTGTTCATGGCGTAAGCTTTTCCCAGTGTGTGAACATTGGGAGGGTCTGGCTTGAAAATTCGGCCACCATCAGCCTCTGAATGTTTGTTAAAATAAATTTAGTCTTTCTTTGCTTAATATAAAATATTGCCAGGATTCAAAACCAACGCTAAATTGATTTTTCAGTCCCCAAAATTCAGAGCAGATCACTCTAATCATAATTTTTTTTTTTTTTTTTTTTTTGGAGACAGTCTTCCTCTGTCGCCAGGCTGGAGTGCACTGGCACAATCTCAGCTCACTGTAACCTCCACCTCCCGGGTTCAAGCGATTCTCCTGCCTCAGCCTCTCAAGTAGCTGGGTCTACAGGCACCTGCCACCACACCCAGCTAATTTTTTGTATTTTTAGTAGACACAGGGTTTCACCATGTTGGCCAGGCTGGTCTTAATCTCTTGACCTCGTGATCGGCCCACCTCAGCCTCCCAAAGTGCTGGGATTACAGGGGTGAGCCACCGGACCTAGCTCTAATCCTAATTTTATTTGAAGGTGGTTTATTATTTATTCATCATAGTTTCTATTTCCATACACCACACAAAGCCTGGCATGGAGGAAACCATTGTAAATAACATTTTGGGCTGGGTCCAGTGGCTCACACCTATAATCCCTGCACTTTGGGAGGCCAAGGTGGAAGAATTGCTTGAGTGCAGGAGTCTGAGACCAACCCAGGCCCCAAGAGACGCATCTTTACAGATAAACAAAATTAGCTGGGCATGGTGGTGTGTGCCTGTAGTGCCAGCTACTTGGGAGGATCATTTGAGCCCAGGAGCTTGAGGCTACAGTGAGCTGTAATCGCATTCTGCACTCCAGCCTGGGCAACAGCAAAGACCCCATCTTAAAAATAGATGAAGATAGCTGGGCACGGTGGCTCACCCCTGTAATCTAGCACTTTGGGAGGCTGAGGCGGGTGGATCACAAGGTCGAGAAATCGAGACCATCCTGGCCAACATGGTGAAACCCCAACACTACTAAAAATACAAAAATTAGCTGGATGTGGTGGCACCTACCTGTAGTCCCAGCTACTCGGAAGCTGAGGCAGGAGAATCGCTTGAACCAGGGAGGTGGAGGTTGCAGTGAGCCGAGATCGTGCCACTGCACTCCAGTCTGGTGACAGAACGAGACTGTGTCTCCAGAAAAATAATAAAGATGTGTTCCAGAGGCTTTTATTCAAAACACTATTTTTAAAGCATGGCGTGGCAGCATATACACCTAAACACGCACGTGTAAGCGTGAGAGGCCCCGCTCTTCAAGATCAGAAGCTGGGAAGGGAAGGACCTTGATGTGCTCTGGAGACCAGAGGCGCCCAAGGGGATGGCAGGTGGAGGTTCTGTCCTCACAACCCCTGGGGTTACGGTTCCAGCCAGAAAGTGAAGAGCTGTCGGGTCCTCGGCGTGGTGTGACCAGAGCCCTCATGCTCAGGCCTCCACCGTAACTTGCTCTTTGCATCACGGGGCATCTCTCCTCTTGCCCAAACAAGCAGCTTTCTGGAAAGAGGAGTGGGGATGCCACTCAGCACCATTAGCCTGTGTGTGGCCGATGGGGTCTTGAACTGACCCCAAGTGGGAAAGGCAGAGAATGTGCCAGAAAAATGCCTGCCCTGAGCACACAGTGTGCTGTGACTGTAGGCTGAGCTCTGGGAGCCTGGATGTCCTCACGTCTCTACCCTGGATGGCATAGTGGCTCTCTGCCCTGGGGACACAGTCGAATCACCTGAGGAGCTCTCACCCAGGCAGTGTGCTGAGCTGCCAGTCCCGAGACACCAACTCATAGATACAGGTTTTCCTGTGTCCCAGGTTCTGATGGCAGCCAGGGTTGTCAGTCACTAAAGAGGCCAGCTGGGAGGTTCCTTCCAGGTTTGGGGACCTCCATGATTAGTGTGGTGAGGATTGTATTTCACTGTATAACGCACCACCAGGTCTTCTCACTGTGACCAGCAGCCTGCCTCGAGAAGTGCGGGGATGGTGGGTTCTCTTTTGTGATTTACGGGCAGAGAGGAAATCCTTGCTAATAAATCTTTGATCACATGCGTGCAGCCTTTCCAAATCTCTTGGTGCCATTTCTCTGTCAAGTGTGTCACAGGTGCTTAGCAGCCTCCTTCCGAAATGATTCCTTGAAATTCAGGAGGCTTTGCTTTGAAGAGGACAGGCCACTTGAAGGCTTGCTTAATTTGCACAACAGCCCCAGGGAGAGATGGTCCTGAAAGACGGGATCCTGGTGTTCCCTTGAAGCCTTGGCATTCAGGAGAGCTGGCCCAGGCCTGAGAGTCGGCGAGGGGACTGCAGCGGGCAGGCTGGATGCCCGTATAGAGAGGCACCAGCGGAGGCTCTGGCACCGCGTGCCCTGGAAGGGGATGGTTCACTGACATCAGCCTTTCAATCTCGTGATCAAAGTTTTGCGAGGCGTTGTGTTGGACCTGGAAGAGAAAAGCGTTAGGGTTCCCAAGAAAGGAACTGAAGCCGCCTTTTGACCAGGCCTCGACGGCAGCTGGCAGGCTACCAGGGAGAGGCAGAGTCTGCGGTTTAGGGGGTAACTGAGCTGGGAGTGGAGCCCACAGGGTGTGGACGTGCTGCTCCTGCCTCCTGGTCCCATGTTCATGGCCCGTCTCGCACACTCCCTGGAGGAAAGTCTTCGGGTCACCGAGACCTGTCCTTACGGCTGCTCCCTCCCTCGCTGCTCCATCTCTCCCTCCAGAACCCTCTGGAACTCAGAGGCGGGTTATTTTCAGGATTCAGGGTGCCATGTTGAAATAGATGCATTGGATTTCTGGGCTGCGGTATTGGCATCTCCTCGGTTAGAAGCTTGCTTCAGACACAGGTCACTGCTCCCCGGAAGCATCCCTCACCCCTCCCCTCGCGCGGCTGCGTCCATCTGGTACTATGGGCCCAGGGCAGCCCCTTCAGGGAGCTGCCGGCGTGGCGTGGTCCTGCTGACCACAGGCCATGGCCATGGCTCCAGCCCATGAGCCCGGAGGACCTGAGGGCCCAGAACAGCCATGCTCGGGCCTTGCCTAGCCCACATCCCACTGAACTAGTCCTGGGAGATGAGCTTTTCTCAGTGTTTGAATTTCGCATTCACAGGGCGTGCTCGCAGAACCCAGCAGGAGGAAGCAGGAGGTCCCTAGAAGTGAGGGAGTTCCAGACACCCCGGCATGGTGGATGGTGCTAGAAGTCAGTGTCCATGTGCGGTGTGGGGTAGGAAGTGGGTGGAACTCAGACCACAGTGCTCCTGCCCAGAAAAGCAGACCACCCACTGGGGCACTGGCTTCTCTGTCCTGGTGGATCCGGGTGTGGCGGGGACGAGCATTCCTCCCATAGTTAACCCTGACGTTTGGAAATCCTTCCCCGACGATGTCACTGTGAGACTCTCACGAGCCTGGCAGCCTCGGCACCTGGCTGACCGTGATTTGCTGGGAGTCGTATTGGAAATGTGGCTAAGTGGCTGACTTCACAGTAGTAGAAACTTAGCTCCACCCAAAAATTAGGTGCTTTTTTTTTTTTTTGAGCAGGTTCCAGTAGGTCATTTTATCCCTTTGGTTTTCTTTTGGATGTGTGTGTAACATGAACCAAAGCGGGACACAGATGTGGTTACCGTGGGGTCCCACATCAGCCTGAATTTCCTGCCAGGCCGACACACAGCCTGGCCCTCGTGTGAATGGGGTGGGAGGGTGCGGAGAGGCACGGAGTGCCGTGGTTGGTAGAAGGGCTTCCCTTCCCTCACCTGGTCCTATTGGTGAAAATGAAGGGCTCTTGTTCCAGGCCTATCACCTTGGCACCCTTTAACAATGAATTCACTTCATTCTGTGATTTTAAAAGCTGACACATTTCATCCACATGAACATAACCCCATCTATTTGTCATCGAGGCAGAGCTTTCCTGGGGGGCCATATCTCAGGTCGCAGGTCTGGCCTTGCCCGGCATTGGTGTGAGTCCCAGCTGGCTTGGACCGTGCAGCTTATCTGTTAAAATCTGACCAGAAGTGGCCAGGCACGGTGGCTCACGCCTGTAATCCCAGCCCTTTGGGAGGCTGAGGCGGGTGGATCACGATGTCAGGAGTTCAAGACCAGCCTGGCCAAGATGATGAAACCCCCGTCCCTACTAAAAATACAAAAAATTAGCCGGGTGTGGTGGTGGGTGCCTGTAATCCCAGCTACTCAGGAGGCTGAGGCAGAGAATTGCCTGAACCCAGGAGTTGGAGTTTGCGGTGAGCTGAGATGGCGCCACTGCACTCCAGCCCGGGCAACTGAGCGAGACTCAAAAAACATCTGGCCAGAAGTCCAGATGAGGGGAAGTTTCCACACAGATGTAGGGGCAGTGAAGTGCGTGTCCCTCTGTGAGAAGGATGTAAACAAGTCCTCCAGGCCCAGCTCCGGGGCTCTCTGGTACTAGCTCCTGGCGCAGAGGGAGGCTCTGAGAACAGGGTTGCTGGGGACAGCCGTGGTATCTGACCTGCAGGCCTCCATCGCTCCATCGTGGCTGTCTGCAACTTCAGCCTCTGCCCGGAAGCTGTGGGGAAAGCTGATCTGAATCATCCGCGAGAGCTTGGGGAGCACCGAGGGGGCAAGCAGGACTGTGGCCATCAGCGCCCCAAGCAGTGTGAACCCTTCGAGACTGTGGCACCCCTCCTCCTCCTCCATCCGACAGCTGGCTCCCGAGGGACCTCCCGCAGCCTCAGGGTGATGCCGGAGATCTGCGCCACCGATGTCTTTCCCATCTGCCCTCCCCAAAAAAGGTCAGTACAAACTAGGCCGAGGACACTTGGTCAGGTAGCAGACTCTGAAACTCGGGTGTCAAGAACTGTTCAGACCTGCATCTGGAAATCACGCGAATTAAGTTGGTTCTTCGTGGCTCTCCCGCTCACCCAGGCTGTCTGGATGCACCCGGGTGCATGTTGCCACATTCCCCTGCAAGCAGGTGCCAGCAGCTCTTGTGACTTAGCTGTGGGTGACAGGTGCTGAGCACGTGTCTGCAGCAGGGCCCCCAAGCAGCCCGCAGGCACTGTGGGCCGTATGCTCTGTGGTGCTTTCCTGTTAGGAGTCAACCTGTTCTTTTTTTTTTTCCTCTTTTATAAAATGTACTCAAGTCACGTATAATTTCTATGCCACTCACAGGTTGTACAACTGCCATGCAAATGCATTTCAGATTTACTTTTTTTTTTACACAGTGAACCTCTATTCTTCTATTCTATTCTATTCTATTCTATTCTATTCTATTCTATTCTATTCTACTCTACTCTACTCTATTCTATTCTATTCTACTCTATTCTATTCTACTCTATTCTACTCTATTCTATTCTATTCTATATTCTATTCTACTCTATTTCTACTCTACTCTATTCCTGTTCTCCTTCTATTCTACTCTATTCTATTCTGCTCTATTCTATTCTTCTACTCTATTCTATTCTCTTCTATTCTACTTATTTCTAGTCTCTGTTCTAGTCCATATTCTGTTGTCTCCTTCTACTCTATTCTATTCTCACTCCTGCACCATTATTCTACTCTATTCTCTATTCTATTCTACTCCTATTCACACTGTTCTACTCCTGTTCTATTCTATTCCTACTCTATATATTCTATTCTACTCTACTCTTCTATTCTACTCTGTTCTATCCTTCTATTCTCTATTACTCTATTCTACTCTCTATTCTATTCTATTTCTACTCCTACTCTATTCTCTACTCTATTCCTATTCTCTATTCTATTCTACTCTATTCTATACTCTATTCTATTCTATTCTTACTCTATTCTACTCTATTCTATTCTATTCTACTCTATTCTATTCTATTCTACTCTATTCTCTATTCTATTCTACTCTACTCTATTCTACTCTATTCTACTCTATTCTATTCTATTCTATTCTATTCTACTCTACTCTACTCTATTCTATTCTATTCTATTCTATTCTATTCTATTCTATTCTAGATATAGGGTCTCGCTCTGTGGCCCAGGCTGGAGTGCAGTAGTGTGATCATAGCTCATTGCAGCCTCAAAACTCCTAGGCTCAAGCAATCCTCCCACCTCGGCCTCCCAAGTAGCTGGGACCACAGGCATGTGCCACCACCCACCCACACCTGGCTAATTTTTAAATTTTTTATAGAGATGGAGTCTCACTGTTGCCCAGGCTGGTGTTGAACTCTTGACCTCAAGTGATCCTCCCACCTCAGCCTTCCTGAAGTGCTTGGATTACAGGTATAAGTCACTGTCCCTAGTCTGGATTCTTTTACAAACCTATTTATGCAAAATTTAAAATCTCTATTGATCCTGTCAGTCTCCAGAATCTCAAAAAATTACCTTTTGACCTGTCAGGCAAATTGGTTTAAAACATTCAAAATGTCTTGGCCGGGCATGGTGGCTCACACCTGTAATCCCAGCACTTTGGGAGGCTGAGGCAGGCGGATCACACAGTCAGATCGAGACCATCCTGGCTAACATGGTGAAACCCCGTCTCTACTAAAAATGCAAAAACAGCCGGGTGAGGTGGCGGGCGCCTGTAGTCCCAGCTACTCGGGAGGCTGAGGCAGGAGAATGGCGTGAACCCGGGAGGCGGAGCTTGCAGTGAGCCGAGATCGGGCCACTGCACTCCAGCCTGGGCGACAGAGAGACTCCGTCTCAAAAAAAAAAAAAATCAAAATGTCCTTTTTCTTAACTCCATTTGAACCAGCTCACATCGATGGGCACAAGCATCGCCAGGAAATTCGGTGTCGTAAAGCTCGGCGCCTACTCGTGGCCACTGTGTCCTAAACTCCCTTTCCTGTGCTCAGGCCCCGGCCCACTCAGCAGGAGGACACACTGCCCAAGGGACCAGTTGGACGGCCTTCTGGCTTGAGCGCCTGAGCCCTTCAGGGCCTTAAATACAGAAAGGAACCGAATGCTCTATGCAGCCCCCCCGTGACAGTTGCTGCAGCGCCAGCACCACCTGTGCCAGGCTGTCGTGCGGTGACTGGACTCAGTGTAGGAATACAGTGTGCTAGGTTAAGATGTGATAAAGTTTTGGGAGGCCGAGACGGGCGGATCACGAGGTCAGGAGATCGAGACCATCCTGGCTAACATGGTGAAACCCCGTCTCTACTAAATAAATACAGAAAGGAACCGATTGTCTTGGCAGCTCCCGGTGACAGTTGCTGCAGCGCCAGCACCACCTGTGCCAGGCTGTCGTATGTGTGACCGACTCCAGTAGGAATACAGTGTGCTAGGTTAAGATGTGTGATGTTTGGGAGGCCAGACGGTGGATCCCAGGTCAGTGAGATCGACCATCCTGGCTAACATGGTGAAACCCGTCTCTACTAAAAATACAAAAACTAGCCGGGCAAGGTGGCGAAGCGCCTGTAGTCCCAGCTTACTCCAGAGGCTGAGGCAGGAGAATGGCTTAAAACCCGAGAGGCAGAGCTTGCAGTGAGCTGAGATCCGGCCACTGAACCGCAGCCTGGGCTACAGGAGCGAGACTCCGTCTCAAAAAAAAAAAAAAACTGGGCGACAGAGCAAGACTGCGTCTCAAAAAAAAAAAAAAAAAAAAGTGTAAAAATGCATGTTATAGCCATGGTGGTTAGTATTCACGTTTTGTATATATGATTTTTATAAATCTATTAAAATTTGCCTTAAATTATACCTGTTTTCCTGGCCTGTTGTGTCCCTGCCTCCCCCACCAGCGCTGAGAAGTGGGGGGGCCCTGAATGTGGCGCCCACCCGCCGCTTTTTTATTTTTTTCTTTTTGAGACGGAGTCTCCCTCTGTCTCCCAGGCTGGAGTGCGGTGGCGCGATCTCAGCTCACTGCAACCTCTGCCTTTCAGGTTCACGAGAATCTCCTGCCTCAGCCTCCGGAGTAGCTGGGACTACAGGCGTCCACCACCATGCCCGGCTAATTTTTTGTATTTTTAGTAGAGACTGGGTTTCACCGTGTTAACCAGGATGGTCTCAATCTCCTGACCTTGTGATCCGCCCATCTCGGCCTCCCAAAGTGCTGGGATTACAGGCGTGAGCCACCGCGCCCGGCCCACCCGCTGCTTTCAAACAGAAGAATGTGGCAGCAGATTCTGTCGCATCCACAGGCTTCCAGGGTGCGTTCCACCGCGGGGCAGGCACCTTTCCGGAAGCAGAGGCCTCCTGGCGTCTTCCACTTGTCTGCGGTGCGCGGAAGGAGAGAGGTGAGCGCTCAGCACAGAGCCCGGCTGGGCCTTAGACCGTGTCTGTCCTCTCCTGAGCTCTACCCTCCTTTGGCCTTTCCATCCCTCCCAGGCACGGGCGTCCCCGGTTGCTCTTCCTCCCAGCATTGGCAGGAACCTCCCGCACCACCCAGTGTTTCTTCAATAGAGTCGGTTGTTTTGCAGCTGCTGGTCGCCACCACCAGCCAGACCTGTGGGCGTAAGGGAAGCGCAGGCAGCCAGCGATGGCAGCCCACAGGGTCACACAGGAAACGTGCTGTGACATTCATATAAACAGAAATAACGGGCCAGGCGTGGTGACTCACACCTGTAATCCAGGCACTTTGTGAGACAGAGGCAGGAGGACTGCCTGAGCCCAGAAGTTCGAAACCAGCCTGGGCAACGTGGCGAAACCCTGTCTCCACCCAAAAAAAGTTTTTAATTAGCTGAGTGTAGAGACACACACCTGTAGTCCCAGCTACTCAGGAGGCTGAGGCAGGAGAGCCGCTTGAGCCCAGGCATTTGAGATAAGCCTGAGCAACATTGCAAGACCCCTGTATCTAAAATAAATACTTAATTTTTTTTTTTTTTTTTTTTTAAAGGCTGGTCACGGTGGCTCACACCTATAATTCCAGCACTTTGGGAGGCCGAGGCAGGTGTTTCACTTGAGGTCAGGAGTTCAAGACCAGCCTGGTCAGTACTGTAAAACCACGTCTGTAGTAAGAGTACAAAAATTACCCAGGCATGGTGGCAGGCACCTGTAACCCCAGCTACTTGGGGGGCTGAGGCAGGAGAATTGTTTGAACCCAGAAGGCAGAGGTTGCAGTGAGCCAAGATCGCACTGCTGGGCTCCAGCCTGGGTGACAGAGATTCTGTCTCAATAAAAAAAAAATTCAAAAACAGAAATGATGATCCCCTCCAGCCCCCAGAACACACACTAGCCTTTCCTTTTTGTCACAGCGCATGAAAAGCATCCACTCTGACGTGGGGAGACACGGAAACGGGGAGTGAACGTTTGTGAAGAGACTCTCCATTTGACAGGGATTTTAAAAGCCTCCAGCAGTGACTAAGTGTGGATGGGCGTCCGCGTGGGTAAATGAACCAGTCCAAGTCAGCAGAGGAGCCAAGTCTCAGAGGGGAGCCGCGCCCTGCACGGAAAGCTCTGCAGCAGTGCGTGGCAGTCCTGTCGGTAGGTTCCCATGGGCTCCTTGCATTCTCAAATGCAAGGAATTGTTTATCTAATTCAATAGACACATTCCCTGTTTTCATTTAGACTTCAAGAATTTCATCCTCTTCCTTTAAGCCCTTTTTAAAATTTGGAGTTGAGGCGGGGCGTGGTGGCTGACACCTGTAATCCCAGCACTTTGGGAGGCCGAGGTGGGTGGATCAGGAGTTCGAGACCAGCCTGGCCAAGATGGTAAAACCCTGTCTCTACTAAAAATACAAAAATTAGCCGGGCGTCGTGTGGCTGGCTCCTGTAATCCCAGCTACTCGGGAGGCTGAGGCAGGAGAATCGCTTGAAACCGGAACGTGGAGGTTGCAGCGAGCCGAGATGGCACCATTGCACTCCAGCTGAGCAACAAGAGCAAAACTCCATCTAAAAAAAAAAAAAAAAAAAAAAAAAATTGGGAGTTGATAGCATTTATTAATTTTGAGAATGAAAATGTAAAATGTAAGCATTATAGAAAACCTGAGTAACACTATTTATTTTGTACATCAAAGTCGTCCATCAATCATTGCAGTATAAAATGCTCCAGGTGTGTTTCCACGTGGACTGGACTCTTAAAAATAACCGTGTCATACGATCGAGCGGTGATTAAAGCTCACGTAATTAGGGCTAAGTCGTTCCCATCGGGAGAGGCTATTGTGGGACTTGTACCTCGGGCCAAGGGATGCCCTGGGTTCTGTTGTTGGGGCAGAGGAGGGAGCTCTGCTGGGCGCGCTCTCCTTTGCCCTCTTTAGGCATTGCTCCTGCTCGGGGGTCCGTGACAGACATCAGGTTGTGCCATCAAGAGCCCCACGCGAAACAACTGCCTCCATGTGGTGCAGGCGGGAAGGCGGCTAGAGGATGGCAGGAATGAAGAGGAGACACCCCCCTTCCAACAGAGGCTCCCTGCAAGCCCCAGGAGGCCACCCGGAGTTGGGTTGGCAGCCGGCACAGCTGCTGCCCCCACCCTGCCCATTCGGTAAAGGTCTCGAGCCCTCACAAGGGGGCGCCCAAGAGGATGGCTACCACCCACCCAGAGGGGCACAGGTCAAATGTGGTGGAAGTTTGATCTCACTTCAGATTAAAAAAAGAAAAAATCGCCTGTTCTTGCAGCTTCCCTCCCTCTTTCCTTCCTGCTCTCCTGTACATCTGCCTGTATTAAGCGACCCTGAGAAAAGCGTGTTCTCTGCCTCTTCCAACCCGCTCCATTTCCTGTGGTTTCTGTGACTCGCCTGTTCCCAGGGGCCTCCCCAAGGTGGGCAGAGCACAGGGAGAAGAAGTCGCTGAGCGCCGGACGCAGCTCGGCCCTGGCCTGCCCGTTTCTCCCTGACCACAAGACCAAGCTCGGCTGCACAAACCCCATCCTGTTAGAAGGGGCAGTGGAGCTCCTACGCGAGAAAGCGTTGGAAGAAACGGTGAAAAGTTCACTGCCTTCGGCTGCTGAAAGTCTGACCGCAGGGGGCGGGACGTCGGCTTCAGACTGGTTCCCACGCTGCCCCCAGGAGCCGTCAGCCGCGCTCATCACCTTTGTCCACGTGCCAGGCAAATGGGCGCCCGCAGGTGCCACCAGCGTGCAAGAGTCAGGGCTGAAAAACGCGTCCCCATTCATTCCCGCCGGTCACAGACCACCAAAGGAGGCCCGTGAAATAGACTCACAAAGCTCGGTGAGGGCCCTTGAACCGAAGATGGTCTTAGACTAGCCGGGGACACACACGTGTTGGCCTTTACTGAGAAATGACGTTTCAGTCATACTGGATCCAGAAAACCAGGCACACTGTGGCGGGCAGAGCACCCTGCCTGAGAGAGAAGATGCACACTGGGCCCATAGTCAGCAGAGCCAGAGCTCTCGGCAGCAGAAGAGCACCACGTTGGAGCCAGGTTACTCCGGGACTGGCTCGGTTTCCATGTAACGGAAGTGCGTGCAAAGCCTGGGGAGCCTCAGTGGTGGAATCTGGCGGATGTCGTCTCTGGTTAATCTCGCGAGAGCTCGGGCGCCTCCGAGAAAGGGCGGGAGGTCAGTCGGACCTGGCTGCCGTGGACCCTCTGTGAGGGCTGTTCCTGTGCAGCCGGGGACGGCGGGGGCCGCCATGTTTGCTCGGCTCCAGTGAAAATTTGGATTGCCTCACCGTCGCGGGAACACTGCAGCGGGGAGAGAGTTAGACTGAACGCGCGGTGACCTCAGGATGCTTCTTGGAAATTGCTTTTTAAAATAAACCCCCGCCATCAGCCTGTTTTCATTTGCCTCCCTACCCAAGAAGACGAGTTCAAAAATAAACCTCCGTTCTTCCGGGTTCTCATTCATCAAGGTGCCGTTGTACGATGTCAGAAAAGGGAAGGCTCCGGCGGCCTTCTCCACCGGTGATTTGCATCTGTTTTGAACAGCGTTCGCAGGCGGCGGCTCTTAGGAAGCGTTTCCTAGATTACCCTGCGGTGTTTATCTTCGACGGCCTGGTGTTCCAAGAGCCATCAATTTGCTGTTTCCTTGGGTTTCCTTGAAACTGGGCACCTCTGTGTGCCGTTGTCCCCACAGGGATCACGGCTAGATTTCAGCTCCGGTGCAGCCTGCGTGCGGGGTGAGCTCCAGAGAACCGCTCCCTGGGGCCTCTCCCAGGACGGCAGCCAGGTCCCCACGAGTCTGTCGCCCTTTCTGGAGCTGCAAAGCCGGCCTAGAGGACGGGCCCTCATTTGCTCCCAGCACACACAGGCAGGCCCAGGTCAGGTCTGAGAGCCCCATCGCGAAGCCCTGATTCTCTACGTCTTCACGAGGCTAAAAATATTCCTGTCTGGGCCTCCCCCTCCTTTAATAAACAAATCAGTGAAGCCCTAGCAACCCCGGGGGTGTTTTCATTGGCACCTCACCTAAGAGTGCCGGCCACCCACCCAGGCCGCTCCCCAGAGTGGGAAGGAGCTGCCAGGGCCAGAAAGCCTCCTGGTAATCAGAACCGAGGGGCATGGGTGCTGGTGTGGGGGCTGCTCGGGAATCAGGGTGCAGGCCTCCCAAGTCCGTGCGCCTTCTTACTCTTCCTGCTCAGACCTCCAAGGTTGCTTTCCTAAGAAAGCCGCACAACAGAAGAACTGAGGGTTCAAGCAAGAATAGACCGCGTCTGAACATCAACTCTTCTGCTTCTGAGGCTCCAGCCCTTCCCAGTCCCATCTTGGTGGCCCCAGCCATGCAGTGGGGACGCAACCATCTGCCTTACAGGTCATTTCGAGACTCGAGGATGATGATGAGAAAAATTCTGTTACGTAGGAGAGACCCCTTCAGAGGCGGAGTTGAGCCACCAGGGAAGGTTTGCCTGTCCAGGTGGACTTGGGCAGGGCAGCCGGTCCCTCCCTTCCAAGACCTAGCTGACCCTGCCCATGGGGTCTGCAGAACAGCTCCCTTGGCACCACATGGAGACCCTCTATGTGTGGGTGGGTTCCTGGAATGTTCTAGCCTCCCCTTTGAACTTGGTAGGATCTAAATTTGGACACCCAGCTTTATCACTCGTGCTTGACTAAGCCATTTCATGTTTAAGGCTTTTGGAGATTTCATCAGGGAAAGGTCTGAAGCAGATGTCCCATGGGACAATATTAACAGGTCGGCATCCCTCCCCCCTCACCCATGCTCTGGAAACGGGGGTGGGGGCAGAGCTCCACTCACTGTCCTGTGCCCTCAGGGTTCACACCATGGACTGGAGTCGGGATGCTGCTTCTCCCCCCTCTCCGTCTGACAATGAGTTTGGGCTTTGGGGAGGAGGAGACAGAAAATAATGAGATTTCGGAAAGGACTGCTGGGCTGCCTGAAGAGAGATTTGCCTCTGAGAGGGGACACTGCTTCTCACCCCTTCATCAAAGCATGGCTGTGATGTGGGAGTATGTATTCTAGCTACTTCAGAAGGCAAGTGTTAGCTTCCCCAGCCTCGTCGCACACACACAGCAATACAGATAACGTCTGTCGTGACCTGAAAATATTTTTAGCTCCATGAGGCCCCGCTGACTTGACCTGCCAAGATGGGTGAGGCTCTCAGAAGAGAGGTCATCGTCAAGCTGGAAGACCCATCCTTGTGAATTCAGGGGCTTCTGACAGATAAGGAGACGAGAAAGCAATTAAGTGGACTCTGCACATTTTTTAAAACTGAAAGAACCATGGCCCTGTGTTTCTTGGAAACCATCATCTCTAAATTTAATCTCAGTTCAACTTTTGCAGCACTTAAGGAGTTTAGAAAGATTCGTGAGCTGTGACCTTACTCAAGAAGGCAGCCGTCATTATCTCTCCGCTGCCTTAGCATCTTTCCTTGCTGACTGTCCCAAGTCACCCTTCACCGCAGCACAGACAGAACCTGGGGCTAGCACAGGGGAGAGGAGGGAAACCGATTTCTCTTCCTCAAAGTTGCATTTCAAAACCGTCCTCCCAACAGCTGTCTTAAAAAATGTCACTCACATCTGCAACTAGGTAAAGGCTGTGGATAAAAGGGGTTTTTTTAGTGGTTTGCTCCTGCCTTCAAAATGCTTTTTTGGGACATGCATCACAGTTGAGGGTCAAAGGACATGGGTACAGAGAGACAGTACGGAGGCTTTGGCCATAACCTCAACGCACTCCCACCCTCAGCCTGAGCCAGGCTGTTCTATTTTTATCACCTCTGTTTAATCTCACATCACTCCAGCAGTTAACCTTTTGTAGAAGATGAAGGAAATCAGAAAACAGGTCAGGTCGTCTAGCAGGTGCACCAGCCAAATCCCCACAGCAAACGCCGAGTGGGGCTGACTATTCATGAATGGCCACAGCGATATTCTGTTGCCTCACATTCCCTGCCACGGCCCCTCCCCGTGAACCTGGGGTGGGTTCCTTGTCACTGCCTCAGTAGAGTGCAGGAAAGGTGACACTCTGTGACGTGAGGCCGAGTTATGAAACACCACAGAGCTTCCATCCGTCCCTCAGAATGTCTACCTTAGGAGGGCAACCGCCATATTGTGAGGAAGCCCAGGTCACTTTCTGAAAGGCCTGGCTCTTCGTCTCCCCTCTTCGTTGTGTCACAGTTACCTCCCAGGTCACTGTCATGCCCCTTAGAAGCTATGCAAAAGAGAGGGGTATGGATGAAGGTCCTAATGCTACTTCTGAGCTGCATCTTTGCTTCTCTGAAGTCAACACCTACTTGTCCCTTTGCATTTTCTGAGACTGGGACCAGGAGCCTGCTGTCTGGCTCTGGCTGTCTGCCCTGCTTGTCCGGCTTCCTCACAATATGGCAGCTGCCTTCCTAAGAAGATGCCTCTCCTCCATGGAGAGTCTCACGTGAGCAGGAACCAAGGCCTGACATCCCCAGCCAGCTTCCTCTTGGCAGCCACGTGAACAAACCCTCCAGCTGAACCACAGAGGCAAACTGTCTCCATCGAGCTCTGCCCAAGTTACAGATTCATGAGCTAGACTGTTGTGATTTAAGCCACTAAGTCTTGGGTGGTTTGTTTGCAGCAACAGCCACCAGGCTCCAGCTTTCACCTTCCGTTACTGCAGTGCGCTCAGACGGCACCTTCCACTGGCCACTTTCTGAAAGGCCTGGCTCTTCATCTCCCCTCCCAGGTCAGCGTCATGCCTCTTTGAAGCTACGCAAAAGAGAATGGGACGGATGAAGATCCTAATGCTGCTTTTGAGCTGCATCTTTGCTTCTCTGAAGTCAATACGTACTAGTCGTTTTGCATTTTCTGGGACTGGGACCGGGAGCCTGCAGTCAGCCTCCACCAATGTCAGATTCACAAGGAAGCCTCAGTCCCCTCCCCTGCATAGCCCTTCCAGTTTTAGTTTTATATTTTGGATTGTTTTTCTTAGAAGCCCTCCATAACCGTATGAGCCACCCACCCACAAAAGGTCCAAGCTGCCCTGTTCTTGCCTCTTTCCAGATGAGAGAGCGTGAGCAGTGACCCCGCCCTCGTCGCTCCGAAGGGATTCCGCTGTCAGAACCGGAAGTCTCTGTCCCTGGGACTCTCCACTGCAGGCTGAGGGGGACGTTTGACAATAAAAGGGTCAATTCATCAGGAAGACACAACAATCAAATGTGCATGGACATAAAGGAGCTTCAAGATGCAGGAAGCAAAATTCGGCAAAATTGAAGGGAGACAGATAAAATGCCCAGCCATGGCAATAACACCCCTCTCTCAGCAACTGATCGAATTAGACCAAAAAAAAATAAAAGATCATCTGATCACCACCTCCACCTACTTGGTGGTACTGACAGTGCAGCCGCCTTTGCCAAGAAACTGTCCCAAAAACATCACCGCAGTTTATTTTCCCCACAGTGAGCAGCAGCTGCCTCAGGAATAAGGGGGCCTCTGCCCTCAGTGCATGTCAGACACCCTCAACTCCTGCAGCCTCTGTCAGAAGAGATGGCAAACCCCAGAACTTGCATGGAGAGCCCCGGTGAAGCCCGTCAGGATCAGAATGCTACTAGCGCCACAGAACTGGGCACTTTGTGTGTGCATGGGGTTGACGCTTGAGATAGAGGCAAAACCCCGTCGCTTCCCCTTTGTGGAGGAGACTCAGCCTTGGAAGCTGGGTTGCAGCGTGGAATCCGTGTGCCCCCAGGGTCACTCCTCATCTGAGCTGGCCTCTCCAGCTCTGGCTATAAATAACTAAAGGGCAGGCCTGCAGCCTGGAAGGAGACAGGACGCGCGCTGCTTCCTTCTGCCTCTGTGGGCGAGGGGGCTCTGTCCCAGCCCCAGCACAGTCCGGGTTGTACTCCATGAGAAGTGTCCAGGAGCAGAGAGACCTCCCCATGTGTGCAGGCCCCTGGGAGCAGCTGGCTGGGACACAGGAGTTGAAGGAGGCGCCTGAAGACAAGTGGTCCGTGGCTTTTCCAAAGAACCTTTCCTTTTTATTCCTGAGACAGTCTTGCTGTGGTGCCCAGACTGCAGTACAGGGGCATGATCACGTCTCACTGCAGCCTCAGTCTCCTAGGCTCAAGCAGTCCTCCCACCTCAGCCTCCTGAATATCTGGGACCACAGGCATGAACCACTGCATCCAGCTCATTTTTAAATTTTTCTTTTGTAGAGGCAGAGCCTCACCATGTTACCCAATCTGGTCTCAAACTCCTGGCCTCAGGCGATCCCCCCGCCTTGGCCTCCCAAAGGGATGGGATGACAGGCCTGAGCCACCACCCAGCCAGGCCCTTCCTCTTAATCCCTGGCAGGTCAGTAGTGGCCTCAGCTACTGGACAGCGCTGGCCAGCCAGCATCCTAGGGAAGGAGACACAGGGCAGCCCCTGCTGTGCTAACTCTCTTCCCCATCCCAGGGGCAGGGGGCCGACTCTGCTCTGGAGAGTTTTCGGGCACTCAGCTTCCTCCTCAGGGAGAAGAACTTGTCCCCCAGGACCTTGCGCAGCCCCACACTGTCATTGCTGCTGGGTGGGTCCTGCCTGATGGCCGGGAGCTGGCCCGTGAACATCTCCCAGCGGTCGAGGGCATCCACGGCTCTGTCCACCTGTGCCAGCTCCTCCTCCGCCACTTCCCGCTGCAGGGCCTGGATGCACATGGCCAGCCACCGTTCATGCTCCTTGATAGCCTCCACAGGGCCCCCAAGTGCCGGCGGAGCCTCTGAGGCCACCAGGGAGCTCAGCCCTTCCTCTGGCTCCACCTCTGGCCCCGAGGAGGAGAAGGTGTGACTGCAGGCTTCAGGGGTGAGGGGCTCGGACACGCTGGTGCCGGGCTCCGAGTCACTCTCGCAGCACATGCCCGAGTCAGCGCTGGCGGGCGGGGTGTCTTCCCACACCGACGGCTCCCCCGCCTCCTGGCTGGGCCACGTCCCCGCCACCGCCTGAGTCCAGGTGTAGAGTCTCTAAGAGGGAGAAACACAGGCTGAGTTTGCTCCCTGCCAGCCCTTGTCTAGCCAGGGAACTGCCAGGAGACCCAGCTCCTTACCTAAGGGGACCCCACCGTCCTCAGTTACCCAGGGGCAGGAGTCAGGCTGGTGGCATGAGGGCTCTTCTGACCAGCAGCCTTTGAGGACTCACGTCCAGGCTGTGCCGGAGTCGGAGGTACCCACCCCCAAGAGCCCACCATTCAGGAACTTCATAAGCTACTTGTTATCCACAGTTAAAGAATAGAGCACTTACAGTTTGTTTTGTTTTTTTTGAGATAGTGTGTCACTCTGTCACCCAGGCTGGAGTGTAGTGCTGTGACCTCGGCTCACTGCAACCTCCACCTCCCAGGTTCAAGCGATTCTCCTGCCTCAGCCTCCGGAGTAGTGGGGATTACAGGTTCCCACCACCACAATCGGCTATTTTTTATAGTTGGCCAGGCTAGTCTCAAACGCCTGACCTCAGGTGACCCACCCACCTCGGCCTCCCAAAGTGCTGGGATTACAGGCGTGAGCCACAGCGTGCACCCGGAAAGTATACATAATTAAATAAAATTTTAAATTTTAAAGCAAAGGTCCAGGCATGGTGACTCACGCTTGTAATCCCAGCACAGGGAGGCAGAGGCAGGAGGATCACTTGAACCCAGGAGTTCAAGACCAGCCTGGGCAACATAGTGAGATGACAAGGGGAAAAAATAGAAAAAAAAAAAAGCAAAAGGAATACTTGAAACTCACTTCCTAAATGTTTTCTACATCTCACTCTTACCTCTGCTCTCAAGGTTATTCTCTCCTGCATCTGTACAGGGGACACGCAGTTTAACAAGGCCCCACTGCACACCTCTTCCCAACTCAGCACTGACTGACGTCCCATTGGGACCTGACATCAGCCACAGTGGGACTGTTTACACCACAGGAAGTGGCAGAGACCACAAGTCCAGTTTTCTTTGAGAACATCCCGCTGATTGCTTTCAATGGACAGCAGTGACCTTTTCTGACCAGGCCCTTGGTCGGCTCTCCAGTACCAGCCAGAGCCCTGGGACAGCAGGTGACCTCACATCCGCACCGCTCCCCTCCCTACAACAGCAAGGAGGGCCAGGCCACCCTGGAGTGCCTTTGCCTTGGCGCTTTTCCCTCCACAGCCATGGGCGATGGTGCTCGTGGAAGGGAGAGCTCTGGGCAGAAGGAGGAGCTACACCCTCCAGCTCCAATCCAGGCAATGCCAGGTCAGCACGTGTAGGGAGGGGCACACACATTATAAAAGTTCATGTCAGATGGTTGCACAAGACCCCAAGTGAAGGCATCAAATGAGAGCTCTCTACCCTTTCTGCAGACCAAGCTGCCCTTCTGCCTGTTACACAGCCTCACCAGGGTACTAAGAGCGGCCCCTCGATGGGGCACAGCTGGCAGCAACAACCTTTACAAGGTGTCATCAGGTGCCAACCGGCCATCACGCCGCCTGCACCCTCAGGAAATGCTCCTACCCTCAGCCATGGCTGCGCGTGGGCTCCCCCCCAAGTCACAGGCTCCTCTCAGCCTTCCACTTGGGAAGGCTGCTTCCTCTGTGCCCCCTTCACCTTCCCTTTACTGCCAGTCTTCGAAGAAGATCCCTACAGAGAGATTCCAGCACTGTGAGCTGGAAATGCCCCAGCCTCTAGCAGTATCACCCAGGAGCCCTGGGCGTACCGCTCCTCACTCTGCCCCAGAAGGAAGGCGGGCACAGCCGGGCCCTGCAGGGGATTCTGACAAGCTGAGTCTGGGAACTACACTCCCACCCGCCTCCACGGCCTGGACCCAGCACCGGAAGGAGGAGGATGCAGGGGCTTCCCAGCGCAGTTTCATTGACTGCTCTTGTGCCTGTACACGGTGCGCACCTGATAACTGGTTTTCATCCAAAGGTGAGTTTAAAGAAAAATTACCACCACCTGCCTTTGCACTCAGAACTGAGAGTAAAACTTTTGAGCCTGCAAACAAATCTTCCCCCATGAATACAGACAAACCGTTTGCTCGGCAGCCCCACCCCGGGTGACAGCAGAGGGTGTTAGGAATGGAGGTCACCTCCAACACAGCCTTGTTCTGTCAGCTCCCACCTCCTCCCAAAGGGCCTGTGCCTCTGAGCGGCAGTGACCCAAGTGTTGGTGACGGGAAAGAAAAGAGCAAGCTACCCTGGGAAGACCGTGCCACCCACCGGCTGCACCAGGAAGGCCCCACGCCGCTGCAACCTCCTGGCCGCAGCCGCCACATGCGGGCACTGGCAGGACTCGACCTACCGCCGGTGAGATCCGGATGGAGCTCAACCCCAATGCAGGTCCCGGGGGACTCTGCACTGCCTGGAACCCGGCAATTTGACAAAGCGTGTGCGCAGTCCTCGTGCCCTGCGTGGTCTCCAGGTGGCGCTCGCGGGGCCTCCAGAGCGCAGGTCCCAGCAGCCGGGCAGCGCAACTCGGGCAGCGCAACTCGGCAACTCACCTGGTACCTCTCGATGAGCCTGAAGCCCAGGATGTGCTGCAGCTTTCGCAGACAGATGGGACAGAGGTCCAGGGGCCGCCGCAGGGCCTCATCCAGGCTGAGCGCACCCTGCATGAGGCAGCGGAGCCAGCGGCAGTTCCCCAGGCCCAGAAGGTGGCAGAGCTCGTGGCACGTGACCTGGGGGGAAGGCCACCAAGCACCTTGCCTCACCACCTTGCCCCCATATCCGGCAGATCCCCAGGCAGCCCCAGCAGGGCCAAAACGAGGACCTGGGTGAGGCTAGATGGCCTGGAAGTGGTTCGGGCGCCCTCCCCCTGCCCCGGGCGGCTCAGGCCTCAGCCCGCATCTCTGGCAGGGCTGCATTCAGGGCCCCAGGGGAAAGGTGAGTCAGGATGCGCGGCCCTGGGGAGGTCGCACAGGATCGGGGCGTGGGGCTCTAATCCCTACCCTGCTTCTTCATAGCTGTGTGTTCTTGGTTTCCTCATTCCATGAAGTTAGGGGTCCACCCACTTCTCAGTGAGGACGGGGCGGTGTAACGGACTGACGCAGCGCAGGCTCAGCCAGCACCCTCCCGTCCCCTCTTCCCAGCCCCAGAGCCCCACCCACCTTGCAGCACTGAACCATCCCCAGGGCACTGAAGCTCAGGGCCCAGCCTCTGTCCTGCGGGGGGGCCTCAGGGCCATCCGCTGCTGCCTCCACCAAGGCTGGATCAGGGGCGCTGGGCCCCGACCTCGGGAATTCCCCCGAGAACCGGGCGAAGCTGCAGACGCCCACTTCTGGAGAGAGATGGAGAGAAGGGCACGCTCAGGGGTCAGCCTTGGCTCTAGGGGGCCCACCATCAAACCCACCTCATGCTCTCATGCAAGCCGGCCGTGGCCCAACAACGCCTAGATCCTGGGAGGCCCTGTCCTGCCCACATGAAGATGGGCCCTGGGGCAGAGGCCACGGCTGAGGAACAGCCCCTACGCCACCCCTCAGGAGGAGCTGGAAGAGGCCGCCTATTCCCATGCATGGGTGTTCACTTCCACCACGAGGGTGCCCTGCAGCCCCGGGGGCCACGGCCCCATGCTAGGCTGCCCCCCAGACAGAGCTGCCGGGCCCCGGCTCACCGTGCCCTGGAAGGAACTTGCTGAAGGTGAAGCTCCAGGCCTCGTGGGGGTACAGGTCGGACAGCGTGAGGCCCAGCACACACAGCGCGTCCCCTGGCTTGTTGTTCTTCAAGAAGGACAGGATGCCGTCTGCGGGGAGAGGGCCGGGGATGGGGTCGGGAGGCAGCCAGGGACCCCTATCTGCTGAGCTCAGGCTGGCACACCCTGTCATCCTCTTCCTCTGCCTGGTCAGGTGTGGGCCACCTGCGTTTGGTCTGACCTGAAGGCACACAGTACTGCATGATGGGGAGTGAGGGTCAGGGCCATTGGAGATCAGGACAGGGTAAGTCTGAGAGGCCATGGACAGCCCAGTGGGGGCGCTGGAGAGGCAGCCTGGCCGACGAGACTGGCGCTTGCAGCCCCGGGAAGGAGAAGCCGCCCCAGCAGCTGAGGGACAGCCCCAGAGATGTCCACATCCCAGCCCTGGGACCCGGGAGTCCCCACAGCAAAAGGGACTGCAGATGATTAAAGATCATGAATGGGGGGGTTATTCTGTATCAGCCAGGTGAGCCTGATGCCATCACAAGAACCCTCGCTAAGGCCGGGCATATTGGCTCACACCTGTGACCCCCAGTGCTTCCGGAGGCCAAGGTGGGTGGATCACCTGAGGTCAGGAGTTTGAGACCAGCCTGGCCAACATGACAAAACCCCATCTCTACTAAAAATATAAAATGAGCTGGGCATGGTGGTGCATGCCTGTAATCGCAACAACTCAGAAGGCTGAGACAGGAGAATCACTTGAACCCAGGAGGTAGAGGTGGCAATGAGCTGAGATCGTGCCACTGCGCTCCAGCCTGGGCAACAGAGCGAGGCTCCATCTCAAAATTAAAAAAAAAAAAAAGAAAAAGAAAAAAAAGAAAAACCACCTTCATTAGAGGCAGCAGGGGGTCTGATGAGAGCACAGGGCCTGAGGGTGCCGCAGGGCTGGCTCAGAGGAAGGGCTGTGAGCCAAGGATGCGGGTGCCTCTAAAAGCTGGAAAGGGCAAGAAATGGATTCTCCCCGGAGTCTCCAGAAGGAACCAGCCCAGCCAACCCTTGACTTTAGCCCAGGGAGGCTCCTGACCCGCAGAGCTGTAAGACCACAGCGGGTCATCCAAGCTAGCAAGTCGTATAACTTGTTAGCATGGTTCCCAGGAGCGTGAGTGTGGACAGATACAAGAGAGGCCCAGGGGCTGAACCTGGGCACGATGACGTCAAAACCGGGAAACCAGGAGCCCAGGGAGGGAAGGAAGGAGGCAGAGCAGCCACTGTGGGCCCAGGAAACCCGGAGAGGGTCTCAGAGTTACTGCAGAGAGGAGGGGTTGGGGCGTAGAGGCATGCAGGGGAGAAAAGTGTTTTCCAAGGAGTTCTACCATTAAAAGGAACAGATTGCCAAGGAGGTGTGTATGTGTGTGTGTGTGTTTTGAGACGGAGTCTCGCTCTGTTGCCCAGGCTGCAGTGCAATGGCGAAATCTCAGCTCACTGCAACCTCCGCCTCCTGAGTTCAAGCGATTCTCCTGCCTCAGCCTCCTGAGTAGGGGGGATTACAGGTGCACGCCACCACACCCTGCTAATTTTTGTATTTTTAGTAGAGATGGTTTGTCATGTTGGTCAGGCTGGTCTCAAATTCCTGACTTCGTGATCCATCTGCCTCGCTTCCCAAAGTGCTGGGATTACAGGTGTGAGCCACTGCACCCAGCCCTGTGTTTCTGAGACAACATCCCACTCTGTCACCCAGGCTGGAGCGCAGTGACACAATCACAACTCACACTGCAGTCTCGACCTCCTGGGCTCAAGCGATCTTCCTGCCTCAGACTCCTGAGCAGCTGGGATGACAGGCATGAGCCACTGCGCCCCACCCAAAAAGGTTTAAATTATGAGTTTTCAGTTTAAATTATGAGTTTTTTACATTGCCTTTCATATTAACTTTTCAATTCCGATATGTATTTTCCATTTACTGCACATCTCATTTCAGACCAGCTACATTTTTTGTGTTCAGAGCCACAGGGGGCCAGTGGCTACTATCTTGGACAATGCGGGTCTAGGGTATGACCTTGGGAAATGAGTGACGGGTCCTGGAGGAGAGACCAAGGAACTTTTGCTAACAAGGTGATGATGACTGATTGACAATGCCAACAAGGTGATGATGACAGTGATGGTTGTTGTTAACCAAGTTATGTCCCCCCAAAAGATGGGTGGAAGTCCTAACCCTCAGGACCTATCATTGTTTGGAAACAGGATCTGTGCAGATATCATCTAGTTAAGATGAGGTCATTAAGGAGACCCAATGACTGGAGTCTTAGAAGAGACTCAGAGGCACATGGTGTAAAACTCACGTGAAGTCAAAGGCCAAGGTTGGAGTTGTACAGCTGCAAGCCACAGAGGGCCGAGCATTGCCAGCAACTCCAGAATCTGGAGGCAGCCAGGGAGGACCCTCCGCAGAGCCTTCCGAGGCCCCATGGCTCTGCCAAAACTTTGGTTTCAGAACCGCGGTCTCCAGCAATGTGAGACGAGAAATGTCCCTAAGCCACCCCAGTTTGTGGTACTTTGTTACGGCAGTCCCAGGAACCCAATACAGTGATCCAAAGCATGCTACTCTCTGGGCAAGATGGCAGGACCCCATCTCTACAACAATACAAACAGCCAGGTGTGGTGGCACGTGCCTGTGGTCCCAGCTACTGGGGAGGTTGAGGCGGGAAGATCGCGTAAGCCCAGGAGTTCAAGGCTGAGGCAGGAGGATCATGTAAACCCAGGAGTTCAAGGCTGCAGGGAGCTATGATTGCACCACTGCGTTTGAGCCTGGGTGACAAAGCAAGACCCCATCTCTAAAAAACAACAAAGAAAAATTAAAAACCAGGCTGAGCTGACCATACAAATGCAACCCGGCATACCCTCTGGGTTCCACCTGCTTTTGAACCTTCCTGGGTGCACGTCCCTTCCCCCCAGTTTTTTTCCCCGAGGGCTCCCCCGTGCACCTTCTGAAGTGCGGGGCTGGGGGAAACAGCAGTTTGTTCACTAAGCGGAGGGGGTGAAAAGCCCTGCAGTGACCCTTGTGGGACTCACTGCTGTCTCTGAGCTGCCACGGTCCTGTCACAGACAGGACGGAGGCCATAACAGGTGAGGTGCACTGCATACAGCATGGGGGAGGTGGAGAGAGCTGAGGTTGCAGAGGCCGAGCCTGAGAGGCCCAGGGTCCCCAGCTCTGTTTTAGGGCCAGGGCCAAGGCAGGCCACACTGCCCCCAGACCTCACTCTAGGACCTCAGGGGCGGGGGAAGCCCATGGAGTGTCGGCTGCACCCAGAAAGCAGGCTGGGACACAGAAAAGAAATGTACCACTCAGGCGATGGCACCCCAGCCCAGCCAGGGGATCCCTGTCAACCCCCAAACCTCAACAGTGGCTGCTCCCTGTAATGGTACACTAGGGAATTTAGACAACCCTCCTGCCAGAAGATGGCCAGACGGGCAGAGAATGACAACGGCTGCTTCAAACACCCAAGATGGGGGGGAGCGGGTTACGGAGGAAGCCTCGGCAGTGGTACGGGGTAGACAGCCGCCCTTTATATGACGACGGTGATGGCTACGTGATGTACACATCTGTCAAGACTTCAGAACCGTACACTCAAAAGGATGAATTTTACTATCTAAATTACACCTCAACAACCAAGACAGAGACCTAATGAGAAAAACAGGGAGGATTCGAGCTCAAACAGATGAAGCTGGACTGTTTCTGGGGTGGGGGAGTGGACAGAATGACCCTAACGACATGCCTCCTACCCTGGGAGGGATGCGGAGCCCTGGGGACCATCAGAATGACCCAGAAAAGCTTCATGTCTGTCCCACAGTCAGCCCTTTGGTGCCCTGGCAGAAGGAAAAGAAAATCCTCTGTGGTGAAAAACATCGGCCTGGGCCAAAAATTCTCAAAGTTAAACTAATTTTTCCAGTAAGATGCCTAACTAACAATCGAAAATAAGGCACAATGAGGCAGGATAACTGAGACAAAATTAGCAGAAATAACAAATACAGGCACATGGACACTCCAGATCAGTGCAATCATCGGACAGACTGTCAAAAGCAACTATGTTCATGGACATCAATGCTGAACTTAAATGTCAGAGACAACAGAGACCCATAAAAACAGGACACTGCTAATTTGAAAAAGAATTCACTAGAAACTACAGAACTCACAAACATGACAAGTGAAATTAGGAACACAATATACGGGGGGTTTGTTGATTGTTTTTTAGATGATGGGGTCTTGCTCTGTCACCCAGGATAGAGGACAGTACAGTAGCTCACTGCAGTTTCAAACTCTCAGCCTCCCAAGTAGCTGGGACTATAGGTATATGCCACCACTGCCGGCTATTTTTATATTTTTTGCACAGACAGGGTCTAGCTTAGTTGCCCAGGCTGGTCTTGAACACCTGCCATCAAGCTATCCTCCCACCTCAGCCTCCCAAAGTACTGGGATTGCAGGTGTGAGCCACCATGTCCAGCCTCAATATATGGGTTTAAGAGTACCTTAGATGAGGCTGGGCGCGGTGACTCACACCTGTAATCCCAGCACTTTGGGAGGCCAAGGCGGGCGGATCACGAGGTCAGGAGATCGAGACCATCCTGGCTAACACAGTGAAACTCCGTCTCTACTGAAAATATAAAAAAATTAGCCAGGCATGGTGGCAGGTGCCTGTAGTCCCAGCTACTCGGGAGGCTGAGGCAGGAGAGTGGCATGAACCCGGGAGGCAGAGCTTGCAGTGAGCCAAGATCATGCCACTGCACTCCAGCCTGGGCAACAGAGTGAGACTCTGTCTCAAAAACAACAACAACAACAACAAAAAAAACCTTAGATGTGACTCCAGAAAGAGTTAGTAAGCCGAAGGATGAGAATAAATTCAGATTAAAGCATGAATGATCAGAAAAGATATAGAGAAGAGCGTAAGATGGATTAATATACATTCAACTGGAGTCATAAGAGAAGAGAATGGGGCAGAGGTGATAATCGACAAAAGAAGCAATGGCTGAGAGTATCCCAGAACTGATGAAAGCTGTCCATCCACTCATTCCAGCCCCTTTTTGAGGCCCTCCCTAAGCTTGAACCTAGGTTTCCTATCCACCAAAGAGCCCTCACTTCACCTCTGCTTCTCAGCCCAGCCTCACTCTCTCCAATCACCAGCAACCCGCAGGGAAGGGGCAAGGGCTTGAGGGTTAGGGGTCTTCTAGGCACATGTCAAGTACTATGCAAAGATGGAAGGTTGGAGTCATGCCGAGTGGCCTTAGAAGTGCTCACTTCAGGCCAGCGATGGTGGCTCACGGCTGTCATCCCAGCACTTGGAGGCTGAGGTGGGCGGATCACTTGAGGTCAGGAGTTCAAGACCAGTCTGGCCAACACAGTGAGATCCCGTCTCTATTAAAAATACAGAAATTAGCCAGATGTGGTGGCGTGCGCCTACAGTCCCAGCTACTCAAAAGGCTGAGGCAGGAGAATCGCTTGAACCCAGGCGGTTGCAGTGAGCCAAGATTCATGCCACTGCACTCCAGTCTGGGCGACAGAGCAAGACTCCATCTCAAAAAAAAAAAAAAAAAAAAGATAAAGAAGGGCTCGCTTCTCCTGCCCTGCGTGCTCTGGCGTTTTCCCGTGGGCACTGGCTGTGTGGCCAGGTCCCCGGACACTCCTGGGTGGAAGAAGGAACTTCCCACACACCCAGGAAATGGACATTTCCCACCAAAAAGGAAGAAAAGATTCCTTTCCTCTCCTGGGCGCCTTCCTCCCACTTCTTCCTTCTGGAAAGGGCCTGCCTTGGCATGAGCCGTGGCTGCCGTCCTCACTCACCTGTGTGGAGCTGGAGCCTGTCAGAGTCCCGGCTGGGGCGCGAGGAGCAGCGGATGGACGCGGCCGCCACCGAGGGCAGGCACTTGACACGCAGGCCCAGGAAGAAGGCCTCGGTGCAGCTGCACAGCTGGCGCAGCAGGGAGCTTCCCACTGGCTCCTCGCTCAGATCTGGTGGGAGAGCAGCGCCATCAGCCCTGCGGCACCCCTGCCCGCCTGGGACCCTCTCCCCGGGAATCGCCTGTGGACACCGGCCGGCTGGGTGAACAAGGCCAGTGTGGACCTACCCTGACAGCAAGCAGAGCATCGGGCTTAGAAAGGAGATGGAAAGCATGACTTTTTCAAAAGGGCAAACACCGAGGGACATAGAGGAAAGATTCGCGCACAGATGAAAGGACAGCAGTGACAACTGCATGTGAGCTCAGGGTGGGAGCAGGCAGGGCCTCACCAGGGACAGGGACTTCGAGGGTTAGCACCAGGCACTGCAGCTGAGCAGGCAGCACACAGAGCTGGGCTGCCTGGCTGCAAAATGCCAGCCTGGCTGGGGCAGAGAGCAGGACACAAGGGTGCAGGTCAATGGGGAGGCAGCAGGGGGCTCCCAGGGCAGCCCCTGGAGGGATGCACACACCAGATCACAGGCCAGGAGGACAGATGGACAAAGACCAAGGGTGGAGGCCAATGAGAAATCGGCTGCCAGGACCCCAGGCCAGTAGCATCAGCCTCACCCAGAAAAGGAGGGAAATGCAGAGCCCGGCCCAGCCCCCGCCTCCTGACCCAGCCCCTGTGTCTCGACAACATGCCCATGTGTCTGCGTCAGAGCTTGGGACGTGAGGCTCTGAGCCATTAGCAGGGAGGTGGAGGGAAGCGGGTGGTTCCCAAGCTGTTGGATTGACTGCTATGGGGTGGTGGATGCGTGGACCACCAGGGCTGGTGACAAGCCTGCGTAGGGTGAGGCCAGCCGAGGTCCAGCCCTGCTCTGGCTTGCTGTCAAGATGCCGAAAGGCGTGGTGCGCTGGCGTGAGAAGTGGACGCCGGCCCTTTCCTCCTCTCCAAGCCTGAGAGCCCCTGTCCCGTGTGCCGTCTCTGCCAGGCTGCTCTTGGCATGTGAGAGGCACAGAGGCTGGCCCTGCTCCTTGCGCTCCCCGCACCTGCCTGGGCCGTTCCCTTCTGAGCACGGATGCCTGGTGTCTCGGCCCCCCATTCACCCTGGGTCCGCCAGACTCTGCCAGACACAGAGCTCTGAGGGCAGTAACCACTCTGGGCCCTGAAGACCACCACCCTGCTCAGCCCACCCCCTCCCACTACAACATCAGGATGAGCACCCCCACCCCAGGGTCAAATACACCTGCGTTCCAGTCCCGTCCCTACCAGTGACCAGCTCTGCAACTCAGACAGGTCAAGGGACCTCTCCCTGCTTCCATTTCCTTGCCTGTGAAATGGGCTGATCCTCATTTCGGCACCCCAAAGAGAAAATGGTCTTTTTTTGAGAGAGAGAATCTCGCTCCACCACCCAGACTGGAGTGCAGTGGCATGATGTCAGCTCACCGCAACCTCTGTCTCCCAGGTTCAAGCAATTCTCCTGCCTCAGCCTCCCAAGTAGCTGGGATTACAGGTGTGCACCACCACGCCCGGCGGGATCTTTATACAGCCCGCAGCACAGTGCCTGGGATGGCTCTAGTTTCAACAGGCGTAGCCAGGACCACACACATCTGGATGAGGATCAGTCCCAGAGCCTGGGCTGTCTGAGCGTAGTGTCAGGATGGGGTGGGAGGAAGGAAGCCTTGGCCCAGCCAGGACCTCCCTGCCTCCACCCTGGACCCTCTTCCCTCGTTTCAGTCCTGCCTGGGGGCTATGCACAGACATCCCCCCTTGTGCTACATATAAGCTGGTCCCCCAGGAGCGTGCCGTTGGCGGCGGTGCCCCGCACCTATCGGCTGTAGGTAGATGTGCTTCCGAGCCAGCCGGGGCTTCCGGTGCCGCAGGGAGGCGTGGAAGGTCTGGAAGTCCTCAGGCGCCTCGGGGCGGCTCAGGAGCCAGTCGAAGGCCGTGTGGATGAGCAGGGTGCAGAAGAGCGTCCTCTGCGGGTTGTAGGCCTCGGCCAGGAAGAGCCGCTCGGCAGGGGAGAAGGCGGAGACGTATAACTGCTGCAGGGCCGCGTCAGTGGAGACCAGGGCATCCTTCAGGGCCCGGGGCCCGAAGCTGAACTCCTGTGCGTGTCTACACTGCAGCATGGTGGGCGGGCACGGCCTGGCCACTCCTGGGAACCCCTGCTGCTGTCCATGGGCCACCCCGGGGACAGCCACGGTCTCGTCCAGAATCTTCCCTCGGGCTGATCTGAGCGGCTACTGGGGGCTCCCCGCAGACAGACGCTGGTCCAAGGGTCCGCAAGGCCCAGATTCGCCTGGTTCTGGACGCCCTCTGGCATGGGCGCTTCTGGGCCCACAGCACCCTGCGGGTGACAGGAACAGGTGTCCCCTCACTGCCGAGCACACATGGCCTGATGTCCTAGGCAGGGGATGGGTTGCTCCTGCCCAGGCCTGGGGAGAAGCTCCACAGAGGACGAGGGCATCAGAGGGAGCCCCAGCCCCTCCAGGACACAGCACTGCCACCCCGCCAGGTTGGAAGGACACTTTCAACCACTTCATCTTCTCTGGCAGGTTGGGTCCATGGGCCACCCAGGGGATGGCCACATCTCTTCCAGAAGCTTCCCTCATCCAGAACTGAGTATGGGGAAGTACCTCCCACTCGGCAGGGGCCCCCAAGGCCATTCTTCCGCTCCCTCTCACCAGCCAGCTCTGTCTGGAGCCCTTGGAGGGAAGAGAGACCTTCTCCCCTCCCTGCTGAGCCGGAAGGGCTCCTCCGGGTGGAAACCAAACGCTCCTCTGCCCAGCGTGATCACAAGGTGTGCAACATCACCTGGCCCCCATCGCCTGGGGTTCCTCCTCACCCACAGCCCCCATCACCTAGGGACCCCCCAACACCCAGGAGCCCCCATCACGGCGGCTCTTCATCCCAATTACAAGCTTTCCTGGCAGGTCCCTGTGCGCCCAGCAAGCATATGTTTGGCGGGGGTGGGGGTAGGCAGCCCCAGCAGCACCCAGACATCCCCAGGACACACGTGAGGGTCCCGAGATCCAGATGAAGCAGTCAGGGCAGGCGTTTGTGCCACACCCCACCAGCTAGAAACAGGGAGAGGCGGAGAAGCAACAGCCGATTTCAACGCCCAGGACGGACCAGGAAGGGAGGAGACGATGGGGGGCATGGGGCTGGCAGAACCATGACAAAGCTGCCCTGCAAAGCAGAGGCTCTGACCGGAACGGCAGCTGGGCAGCCCTGCACTCATCAGGCACACGCCTGAGAGCCGTCACCGGTGGCACGCTTGGTTCTGGGCTACGCTTAGGTCTCTGTCCGGAGACTGTGAGACCTGCCAGGGTGGATGGAGAGCGGGCTGGGCAGGGGAAGCCTCACAGAACAGATCAAAGCAAAGGGGCGGTTGTGGGGAGAGGCTAGAAACGAACCAGAAACCACAGAAGTGAGATGCACAAATAATGCATCAAGGCAGGTGAAGCTAAGGACATATGAATCAGCAGCCCTCAGACAAGGCTTCCTCTAGAAAGTTGAGCTAGACATGCAAAACCCATTTATCTGCACATCAGCAAGTTGCAAGACCTGCCAGCCCTAGCCAGAAAACCAGAAACTGTTTTTGCAGGGAGAATGAACAGCGCTATACGCTCTTTAACCCTGATTTCTTTTTTAGAGATAGAGTCTTGTTGTGTCATCCAGGCTGGAGTGCAGTGGTGCCATCATAGCTCACTGCAGCCTCCAACTCCTGAGCTCAAGTGATCCTCCTGCTTCAGCCTCCCAAGTAGCTGGGACTATGGGTGTGTACCATGCCCTGCTAATTTTTGTAGAGATGGGGTCTCACTATGTTGCCTAGGCTGGTCTCAAATTCCTGGGCTCAAGCAATCCTCTCTACTCAACCTCCCGAAGTGCGTCAGCCACTGCACACAGAACCCCACCCCGCCCCCCAACTTCTTTTTGTTTTTTAGATGGAGTCTTGCTGTGTCGCCCAGGCTGGAATGCAATGTCATGGTCTGGGCTCACTGCAACCTCAACCTCCCGGGTTCAAGCAATTCTCCTGCCCCAGCCTCCCAAGTAACTGGGATTACAGGTGCCTGCCACCATGCTAGACTAATTTTTGTATTCTTAGTAGAAACAGGGTTTCCCCACGTTGGCCAGGCTGGTCTCAAACTCCTGACCTCAAGTGATCCGCCTGCCTCTGCCTCCCAAAGTGCTGGGATTACACGCGTGAGCCACCGCGCCCGGTTTTTTTTTTTTTTTTTTTTTTTTTAAACAGAATGGTTCTAGCTCTGTTGCCCAGGCTGGAGTGTAGTGGCACAATCATGGCTCACGGGAGCCTACTGAGTAGTGGGAACATGGGCACACGTACCACACCTGCCCACTAACCCCAGTTTTACACATTCATCTGGAAAATACACGTGTATGTGCTCACATTCCTATGTATATGTGAATATATAAACAAATTTGATATATGTAATTCATACATTTTCTTTTGGGGAAAAGGTGACAGCTGTATATCCATGTGTGCACACAAATATACACAGATATATTTTTTTCCAGAGGAACGTATTGGCTTAGAGTAGGGGAGGGGCTGGGACTGAATTTCCACTGAGATCACTGCCCACCCAGAGCTTTCTCTAGCTTCTTTCTCCAAATATATTTTACAAATGTAAGATCCAACTGCATATATAATCCTGTATCTTTTTGTTTCGTAAATCATGAGCATTTTCCAAATCCTTAAACAGTCTACAAAAAAGCTATTTTTGGCTGAGTGTGGTGGCTCACGCCTGTAATCCCAGCACGTTAGGAGGCTGAGGCAGGCAGATCACTTGAGCCTAGGAGTTTCAGACCAGCCCAGTCAACGCGGCAAAATCTCATCTCTACTAAAAACACAAAAAAATTAGCCGGGCATGGTGGCATGCACCTGTAGTCCCAGCAACTCAGGAGGCCGAGGTGGGAGGATCCCCTGAGCCCGGAAAGTCAAGGCTGCAATGAGCCATGATCATGCCACTACACTCCAGCCTGAAAGAGGGAGTGAGACCTTGTCTCAAAAAAACAACAAATTTAAAATTTATTTTAAAAAGTAAAAAATAGGGCCAGGCACGGCGGCTCACGCCTGTAATCCCAGCACTTTGGAAGGCCGAGGCGGGTGGATCACCCAAGGTCAGGAGTTCGAGACCAGCCTGACCAACATGACGAAAACCTGTCTCTATGAAAAATACAAAAATTAGCCAGGCATGATGGCGGATGCCTGTAATCCCAGCTACTCAAGAGGCTGAGGCAAGAGAATCACTTGAACCCGGGAGGCGGAGGTTGCAGTGAGCTGAGATCACGCCATTGCACTCCAGCCCGGGCATCACTGCAAGACTCTGTCTCAAAAATAAAAAATAAATAAAAATGCTATTTTCAACCACTGCCCAAAAACACTGTGATGAACATCTTTGTACTAAGTCTGTGTTTCCATCTCCTCAGGATGAATTCCTAGAAGAGAAAATTCTACAGGCGGATGTTTAAAGGATCTTGATTTGTATTGCAGATTGCTTTGCAGAAAGATCACACCAGTTTACAATCCCACCAGCCCTCAAGGTTTTTTGTTTTTGTTTTTTGTTTTTGAGACAGAGTCTCCCTCTACCCCGCAGGCTGGAGTGCGGTGGCCCAATCTCAGCTCACTGCAACCTCCACTTTCTAGGTTCAAGCGATTCTCTTGCTTCAGCCTCCCAAGTAGTTGAGACTACAGGCACCTGCCACCATGCCCAGCTAATTTTTGTATTTTTAGTGGAGACAGGATTTCACTATGTTGGCCAGGTTGGTCTTGAACTCCTGACCTCAAGATGATCTGCCCGCCTCGGCCTCCCAAAGTGCTGGGATTACAGGTGTGAGTCACTATGCCCGGCCAGCCCTTGAAGTTTTAAGTCATCAGCAGCAGATAAAAATGACTATTGGCTGGGCGCAGTGGATCACACCTGTAATCCCAGCACTTTGGGAGGCCAAGGCGGGTGGATCACGAGGTCAGGTGATCGAGACCATCCCAGCTGACACGGCGAAACCTGTCTCTACTAAAAACATAAAAAATTAGCCGGGCATGGTGGCGGGCACCTATAGTCCCAGCTATTCAGGAGGGTGAGGCTGGAGAATGGCCTGAACCTGGGAGGCGGAACTTGCAGTGAGCCGAGATCGTGCCACTCACTCCAGCTTGGGCGACAGAGCGAGACTGTCTCAAAGGGGGAAAAAAAAAAAAAAAAGGACTATCAAGAGCCACAAACCGCACTGTGTTCCAGGCAGGGCTTCATTGCTTTTACCCTCAGAGAAGTGGGTGCAGTTTTTTGTTGTTTTTTTTTTGTTTTGTTTTGTTTTTTTGAGACGGAGTCTCGCTCTGTCGCCCAGGCTGGAGTGCAGTGGCCAGATCTCAGCTCACTGCAAGCTCCACCTCCCGGGTGTATGCCATTCTCCTGCCTCAGCCTCCCGAGCAGCTGGGACTACAGGCGCCCGCCACCTTGCCTGGCTAGTTTTTTGTATTTTTTTAGTAGAGATGGGGTTTCACCATGTTAGCCAGGATGGTCTCGATCTCCTGACCTTGTGATCTGCCCGTCTAGGCCTCCCAAAGTGCTGGGGTTACAGGCTTGAGCCACCGCGCCCGGCCGTGGGTGCAGTTTTTGTCCCCATTTTCAGGAGGGTGAAACTGAGGTGGAGTAGGGTTAAATCTAACTTAGGCAATGCCACGACACACCACAATCAGAGGTTGCGGGGGCAGAGCAGGGGGGTTGGAACACACGGATTTTGTTTTCTAATAATAGTTATGTCCATTTCCTTTTTTTTTTTTTTTCCCAAGACAGTTTCTCTCTGTCATCCAGGCTGGAGTTCAATGGCACTATCTCAGCTCACTGCAGAACCTCCATCTCCAGGTTCAAGCGATTCTCCTGCCTCAGCCTCCTGAGCAGCTGGGACTACAGGTATGCGCCACCACGCCTGGCTAATTTTCTGTTTTTAGTAGAGATGCGGTTTCACCATGTTGGTCAGGCTGGTCTCAAACTCCTGACCTCAAGTGATCCACCTGCCTTGGCCTCCCAAAGTGCTGGGATTATAGGCAAAAGTCACCGCACCCAGTCTTTTTTTTTCTTTTTAAAATGAGACAGAATCTCCTTGTGTTGTCCAGGCTGGAGTGCCACGGTGCACTCAGCTCACTGCAACCTCCAACTCCTGGGCTCAAGCAGTCCTCCTGCCTTTGCCTCCCGAGTAGCTGAGACTACAGGCATGTACCAACACGCCCAGCCAATTTATTTTTTGTAGAGAAGGATCTCACTACGTTGCCCAGGCTGGTCTTGAACTCCGAGGCTCAAGCAATCCTCCCTTATTAGCCTCCCAAAGTGC